GTATTCACTCTCTGAAGATGGATAGACGAGATAACTATCGGAAACGTCAGATAAAAATAAAGCTCTCCCGGTAAATGCCCTTCTTCCTTCTAACGTACCACCTGGGAATTGAATTTACGCTACTATTGCGATAGTATTTTAGCTTTTCGTGTCTTGGTCAGACAGAGATCAGGTGCAGGGGGCTGGTTGAGCGTGAGCCCGCAATTACGCGTGCACTCTTCTCTCCCCGCTGCCCCCGTGTGCGGCACTTGGAGTGGGAGCGCAAACCGAATAACGACTGCGGTGCTCTGATCTAGCCCCCTCTTCGTTCAGCGCATCTAGCATGCGGTCCGTTTACGAGGCCAAACAATCTATCAGAAAGTACACAGCGGCAGTATTGGCTACTAAGTGCGGAGGACATTCTAGGATTAGAGCAAAAGAATAATGTAAAAATTCTAGAACTACACACAGGTTTTCCGTCTAATTATCTGAATACAGTTGCGATTAAATGCAAGCCGGAAAGTTATGCATGATTACTTTTAGTTTTTGTGATTTACTTTGGACCTAGACATTGAAAGCATACGTCATGCATTAAGATAGTGACCAAGCCAAAAATATGTTGCAATTAAAAGCATGCTTTGCCATGTTTCGTTCCAAAATCAATGAAATATAAGGTAGGGTGGAACTCTTGAAATCCTGTTCGTAATACTTTGACGGGCCTTGTTGTGAAAGATTCTTCTTAGATGCGCATGCTCAGTCAACTAGCAGGATACAACTTCCAGGCATTTTTGCCTGCCTAATGTTTTTCCTTCAACAAGAACGAGACATTTTATTTGATTATGGCTTAACCAACCGGATTTTCTGTACAGTTGCGTGATTTCAGGGACCTTTTTGAAAGTTTTTCGTTAAATTCCGGTCAAAACGCAAGGATGTTTTACTAAACTTTTGTGTTTGTTTCAAAAATCACTTGTTTTTTATAACTCGTACAATTACTATACTGGGAAACCAGGTACTGTTTGAAATCCCAGACACATAATTCCTCGGTATTTTGCGTGGAGCCCGACTCATCAGTGGGTCTCCTAGCATGTCCTTTGTTTTCTGTAGGCCATATATACTTCCCTTCGAATAAGATTGTACAAATAAACTACTTTTAAAACAAATATCAAAGGCATCGATGCCTATTTAGTAATTTAAGTAAAAGTTTATTGATTTGAGATGAAGCGTGTAACTGCTAACGTTTGTTAACTGCTTCCGCAGATGTGTAACTTCAGGCCTATAATAAAACTTACTTTTTCTCTTGTTATTCAAATTATCGGTCAGTTCACTGCATGGGATGTTGCTTGAATTGCCACATACTTGACTATCACATAGCATTAGTAAAGACCAAATCAACTAATTTGTTCAGGCTAGCTTTGTTTAGTGCACTTTCGTGCATGTCTATTTCTTCCCGATTGGCTGAATACTTTGAGAACAAGCAAGCCCACCTACTCCACGAGCCAATAGGTATCATTACTACTTGTATGGCCGCCTAAACAGAACACGGAAATGAGAACGCTTCATCCAAGTAATAAAGGTGTCCTTGCGCATAATTCCAGGAAAAGATAACTAATCACGGGTCTGAAGGCCATAATTAGCCCCAGCATATACCTTGTTATTTGGAATGTTTATCAAATTCTTAATACGCAAGACATGTACTGAACCGCATTGTAATTTTTACCTACATCGTGTCCAGCAAAGGCCACGTTTTGAGATTTTCTTCTGTCGTCACTGGGTGTCTACACGAATGGCAGTTTAACAGTGCGTAGACTTCTCAAGAACCCTAAACTACAGTCTTCTGATGCTTAAATTTCCTACAGGTCTATCTGCTGAATAAACGTAAGTGCTACACAGCTTTTTACTGCCATGCGTGTTGTGAAAAGCCTTTCGGAATAAGCATTTTGTTTAATCAAAGCGATTGGCAGTAGGCCCCCGGTAGCTTCCCGCTCAATTAAAATTATGGATCCAGTGGAAAACCGTAGGCAAAATTTCAAACATATGTTGACATGTTTGTTTTTTGAAAGTTATATGTAGTCGCTATAAGGACTTTAGTAAACGTATGTATCACAGGTTATATTTACAGTCCCTTCGACTTCATTGATTAGACTCCTCTGTTATGAATACATGATTAGAATGTAATTAGGCATCTTTTAAACTCCTACTACAAACCACATTAACTGCATTGGTTGATTACCTTTCTAGGCTACAACAATTTTCCTCGACATGTTACCTATCGTAAAGAATCATTTGTCTCCTTAACTTTGTTCTTCTAGTAACCGTCCTGGTTAGAATAAGGGAGAGACAGAACGTCGCTGTACTTTACTTAGGTAAACATTCACAAAATGCCCCCTGTTCCGTTATCCGAATTAATACAAGTATTGCATGCATAAAGCATTACTTAGGGCTAGAAGGCTTAAAGGTAATTTTTTAGCCAACTAGGCCTCGACTGCCACTATCTTTTTGTTCGGGCATCATAGAGGCGGTAGAACCAATCATGACGTGGCCTTGTGTCGAGCACGCGATTGGTCGGCTGTGGCATCAGCTAGATAGAACTGAACAGCAGTCAGTCTCACTTAACTTTTGGACCTCATGACGACTGCCCAGCAGAAGCCCGAATTGGAGTTGTTTGACCTCACAGCAGTAGTGACGTCATGGGCACTGAACGCATTCATTGCCACTCGAACCAGAGCACAGCGGAAGGTCAAAATTGACGACTTGGAGATCAAAGTGAACTGGGATGACGTGCATTGTTGGAGTGAACCACCCCAGTTCTCTGACAGCAACACTGTGACACTGCCTAAAAGTCACTCTCTGTTCAGCACGAACTTTAGAAACAACACCGACAGTGAACAGGAATATAACTTTCGAACAGAACGAGCTACTAGGTCCGTAGCTGAGATCGAAATTTCCCAGGGATTTACCTCAAGAAAAGAGATCGGAATTAAATTACAAGTAAGTGACATTCAACTATTATTTTCATTGCGGATTAACCTGGTCTTTTCTTTGGTACTGGTGTCTGCCAGTATGATCCCTGCTTATTAACCCATCAGTTTTAGTTTGTATGCACATTGTTTTATTCTAATTCTTCTTGGAGCTGTAAGTATTTAGGATTTCATTAAAGTTACTCCACAACACAGGCTACCGCTATTTATACATACAGAAACGAGGCAGTTTTGAATTAAAGCCTCTGAAAATCTTGAGTAATAGTATGACCGACGACCAGGCTTGAAGTTGTGGAAAAAGGAGTAGACAGCAAGAGTGCTATTAATAATATAATTTTCTGCAAAGAATGTGAACCCGCGATTATTGGGTTTAGGAGTTCGAGCTTTTGGGTGGTTATGGGATAAAACATCTGCCATTTAGTTTTTTGCAATAGGAACCTGAAGCTCGAATATGCACCTCATTCAAGTTCCTTTCTTGCCGTATTTGCTTAGCGATTTCATGCACTGTTTTCAGCCACGTCATTTGTAAAAGGTTATTTAGATCTTAGAATAAACCGTGAGATTTTACTACTTACAGTAGTCCTTTATATTTTCTGCCGACTAGGATGGGAGTCAACAGTTAATAGTTTCGTTTACGATTTTGTGACCTTTCCAGGAAAATCAATATCCCCTAATTTAAGGGATGATTATTAAGTCACCGTCCTTTTTCTAAACACTCTCTTTAATTTTTTTAACTGACGTGGTCCAGCTTCGAAAATCGGAAAGGGGAAGATAATTAATCGAAATAGCCTTGCCTCACAAAAATTCAGAGACTCGTGAAACGTAAAGACCTATTGTTCCTCTAAGGTCGTTTCAGTGCATGTTTGTTCTCTTCATATGAGCATACACGGTTACTTTTTATAGAACTTTTCGGTTGCAATTAATTCGTGCATTTTGTGTAGGGCAACTGAAGTTAACAGCAGATCTAACGCAATTAAAACCAGCAAATGGCATTCTGTCATGTTAAAACTGAATCAATTTGGGCGTGATACTGAGTGCCTGAGCTTTGCTATGCATGGAATTCAAAGTGAAAATAGCTTCTTTAGTATTTTTTCTAACGAAATGACAGTATTTGGGCCAAACTGAACCGTGTGGTGTTATTGAATGGTTATTATCCCATCTTCTTACTTTTGGAACCTCAATATAAGGAACAGCAATTAATATTTGAAATTTATAATTCTCTTGGTAAGTCCTCCCGCTTTGTCCCTCGCCGTATACTGATTCAATGTTAGCTCTCATACTGGAATAAGGAGGAAGGTTGTAGGTCAAAGTAATTACCTGACAAACAATGTACTGGGAAAATGTGTATTTTTGATTTTTTTAAAGAAATTTATGCAAAACACAAAAGGTTATTTTAATTTCACTTTAAAAGTTGCTTTCAGCGCTTCGTAGCCACCACGGCCAAGGGCGTTTTAACTCCATCCCAGATTTTGCTATTCCGGTGGAAGACGCTAGCAACGCTTACTGTGGCAACAGCTCTGGAGGAGGATATGAAAATGTAGTTCGTAGAATCAGAGAAAGAAAGAAATAACACACAGATCAGAAGTCTCAAGGAATGCGGAGATTTGTGCAGGCCCTTTGACAGTACAGTCTCGTTTTCCCAGACATAGTAAAAACCTGTGACTTAAAAAATGTCCAACTCTTGGTTATAGCATACTTTTCCCTTGGAACCTTCGAGCTAAACCTGCAACTCCGCTCCTCGTACACAAAACAGTTTGTTCGAAGTAGTATTCAGAGCCACTTTAGTACTATGCACTCCGGAAGAACTTTCGGCAATTACTTTTCTGTTCATAAGGCTCGGTAGCTAAGAAATCGCTTGTCCCGAAATTGGATTCATTGAACGTTGGTGCACACGAAAATTGTGCTGAAGAGCGCATTTTAATCGGCGATCAAATGGGGCTAAGCCCCGGAGCCTTCTGCATTAATAGACTGTAAAGCGGACGCTAGTAAATGCACAGAAGTCAGTTGGCGAAGTTAGTATACGGTCATTTACTATCCCATCCTAAGTGTTGTCTTGTTTTTTACATGTTTCACTTATTATCTAATCCGCGGTGCAAAGTTCTTCTAATTACCCAACATGAAGGCAAGATACTATTTCCTGGCTTGCTGTAACGCTATTTCATTGGTCCTTCATAAAAAGGAGTTGACCGTATTACTGTCAATCAGGCATGAACTGACGGGACTTCGATTTTATGACTAAAGTGGGTGCATGTGCCCCAGGTAGAGTTTGCTGGGCGTTGCGTTTCGTTTCTGCTGTATGAGCGTGCGCAAGAAAATTTATCAGTGAGTGTGGAATACGGAAAATTCATACAGAAATACAGGTGAAGATTTTTCACTCTTTGTTGACACTGTCCAGAAGGTATGAATGAACATCTAGTAAGGCCCAGTACATAGCTCGAGGTGTTACTTCTGCTAATAGTTCCCCGTAGTAACTGTAACGAAGAGGACCGTGACCGTCAGCCTTGTAGTTATCCCTTTTTATAATCGTTTTGCCACAATTCTTAAGATAAACTCGGCAACGGTTTATCGGATCGGACTGAAGACACTTCTCCATAGATTTGTTTTGGAGAACTAAGCATGTTTTTCTCTTCATATTGTGCAGCAAACAAGCAAACTCTATTATCCCTGCCTGAATATCAAGCAAATTTAAGTTCTTTATTGAGCAACACTTAGCTGTCTTAACCTGTTTCTTTCTAAACAAACGGCTCAGAGTATATCTGAGGAAAGAAAATGCATCCGTAACCATCTAGAAATCGTGAACGTCCCCTTAGATGTCTTCACTATGCATCGCATGACAGGTGCACTCGGAGCGTGTTCCGAGTTAAATTTGTATCAACTTGCTTTTTCCTATATGTATCTTGTTCTCTAATGAAAACTAAATATTATATTCAACTGCTGACCAATGTAAATAAGTTTGGATTACCGAGAGTCACTAGTAGCGTCCTACATATTAGGCAGGAAATCAATCAATTTAACTACGTGAACTTGTTAAGTAGGTATCCAAGCTAAATAAAACGATTCTATGGATTTCATGACAGCACGCGACATATCATATACGAAATGCTTAAATATACGAATAACCGATCATCGCTCGCAAGCCGGCATGAATACATAGACCCAAGCTTTAAAATAGTAAGGCACACGCTTAAGCGAATTTAGAATTTAAAGCAATCGTTAAAAGATGATACTGTTGTGTTGTTAACTACCAAATTAGTTAGAAAAGCGGCAAGTTCGCAAACGTGAAAAACGCTCTAAGTGTGACTACAAAAGCCTTTTAATTCTAAAATCCACTCAATAAATCAAAATAGCATGACCAAATGTACGCTAAACTACCCACACGGCATGAGTTAGTTCATCTACTGCAGATCTTACCATGAATCATAAATTTATGTTGGGTGTCCTTCCCTCCGTTTGTTTGCTATGGATCTTGATACAAAATTGATTCCTGTTTTATCATCTTACAATATCAATTCTTAATCGGGAATTTTGACTGAGCTTGGCATATGATTTTACATACTTTGACCATTGAAGACGAAACAGACATCGTATTTCGTTAGTTTTGGTCGAAGTGACAAAAAAAGATTGATTTGAGATAATATATGTATTTTGTCGTATTTTTTTCATAATTACAACGACAGCGAACATGTATTCACCTAAAGGATTCGATATTAATGTGTCCCAGACAGGACAGTAAAAACCTCTTCCGGGGATGATGAGCACGATATTATATCTGGACCCCGAATATTCACGCATATTAATTAAAACTTTATGTGGTTCCGCTGCGGCGCACCATTTCATTCAGATAACATTCAAACGTTCTATATTGTAACCTGACCACCGCTGAGTAAACGATTCATACTAAAGCAACGCAAAAATCATAAGAGGAAAATCAATTACTAGGAACAATTTTTAGAATTACGTCCCTTACCTTACTTGCTTATGCTGTTTTCGCCTTAACTATCTGAAATCTAAAGATTTATAGCAATTCAAAAACTTGACATTTATTATGATCAAACCTTACTGGACCCGACGCCTTAATTTTTGGTTTTACTCAAAATCGACATTGAAGGCAGTTTAGGAAAGTGCACTCACGGGACTACTCATTCGGGCAACGCTGTAAGA